TTTACAGCCAAGGAGCAAAGGAACTTCTTGTGTTTGGCTAGGAAGAGGGTTCAAAGGGTCATAACAACTATCCTTCTTTGTTAACCAGAGGGCAGCTTGTAGAAGCAGGGTTAGCCACGTTGGGTCTGTGTGGCTCTGAGGGATACATCTGGATGACGTGACAGGGAGAGAGGTTCTGGTGTGCTATAAGGCAGAAGATCATCTCGGGGCCGCCTTGCGAGCTCCCAGCACTGGTGCTCAAACCTTGGCCAAAATACCACGACAAGAATATAGAAAATAGGCTGTCTGCTGTGGGTGGGAGGTTGCATTAGGAAGCTTCTGAGTTCCTTTTAAATCTGTGCAGAGGTGGTAAGGTGCCGTGGTTAAGAAGTGCTTTGAATAGGAGGGTCAAGGATGAATCCTGGCTCTGCCATGTCCTAGCTCTGTGATTTTGAGTGAGTCAGATTTTGGTTTCCTTAATTTTGGAAAAAACTTCACGAGACCTACTCTTTCGGGTTCTATTAAGAGTTACATGCAGTTACCTGCATAAGAAAACAGCATAGGAACTGGTGATGGCTTGATAAATGTTATCCGTTCTATCTGTCCCTGCCTTGATCCATGCACTGAATTGCACACCAGTTCTCACCTCCATGCCTCGGCTCTTATGCCCTTTGGTTTGGAATCCCCTGTCCTGGTCATCTAGATAATTCTAGGCATCCTTTCAGATCTTGCTCAGGTTGCAGCACCTCTTAGTGCTTCCTCTTTACCCTCTGAGCAAACCCTAGGACAGTGCCATTCTCTACTGGTGGAGGGCAGGGCTGCTGTCTGACTCATTTCTGTACAGCACAGGGCTTCACCCATGGCAAACACTCCAGCCATTTCACTTGGAGCACTAGGTTCCATATCTGAATAAAGACTTGACAGATCAGGCATCCACTTCCTCCAACTCGCCCATAAACACACTGGTCGTAAACTCTGGCGGTCTCACTGGCAGTCCAGCCTCCTGGACAAGTGTGTCCTCTTTGATGTATTTATATATTAGGTTTTTAAATGCAATTTTTCAGAAATGGACAATCAGCAAGGCCCCATTGAGTGCCCTGACACCCTTTCCTCTTCCGTATTTCCTATATGGGCACAAGGACATCTATCATCCTCAATTCATTTAAGTTGGTGTCAGGCTATTCTTACTGAAGTGATGATGTTTACTGCACCTCTGAGGTTCACCAGGAGCCACCTCACAACATCTGACCTTTGTCTCTCTTGAAGTTTGGTGCAGACATGAGGCTTGATGGTAGCTGGAGTCTAATGAGCTTATTTGGCACTAAAATTCAAGTCTCCTTTCATCTTGTTCAAACAACTCAGCATTTTGGTTCAAGATGCTAATGATAATCGAACCAACCAAACAAACAAACAAAAAAAACTCTGCATGAGAAAAAGGTGAGCTGGAAGTTGAGAAGAGAATAGAATATTGAGGCCCAATTTATCTAAACATTGCTATACAGTTCGTTAGACTCCAGCTACCATCGAGCCTCATGTCTGCACCAAACTTCAAGAGACAAAGGTCAGATGTTGTGAGGTGGCTCCTGGTGAACTTCAGAGGTGCAGTAAACATCATCACTTCAGTAAGAAAGCCTGACACCAACTTAAATGAATTGAGGAGGATAGATGTCTTCGTGCCCAGAATGGACAGTTACCTCTATGTATCATGCTAATTATTCCACCAAGTGGTGAGAAAGTCCATCTAATGAATCTGCTGACCTCCTAAAGAGAAGAGCAGCCCATACTAGTTGCGTGTGTATACGTGTGCACGTGTGTATGTGTGCGTGTGTGTGTGTTTGGGTGGGACTTACTGAATTCAATTACTTCCCCTTTCCAATAAATGAAAAAATGCCTAATGCTTATTTAACAATTCATGGCTGTATTTTTACTTGAAAGATAATTCTAGAAGTGAGAAAGCTATCGCTATTACAACAAAGAGCCTGTTCCGAAACCTGGAAAAAACTCTTCCCTCTTTATCTTGTTCTGTGATTTCTCAAAGTTTCGTTTCCTGACCAGCAACATTAGAGTCACTCAGGCTACATATGTAGAATCCTAGGCTCCACCCAAACTGTCCATATCTAAGTGTGGGGCTCAGCAATGGGCATTTAGTAAGCCCCATGCACACAGGAGTCTGAGAGAACTTCTGCCTTACTGGGCTTGTATTGTGAGGCTGGTGCTCCATCTGATAGGAAAATCGGGTTATGGTCACGAATTGCTTAATGATGGGGATATATTCTGAGAACTGCATCATTAGGTTGTTTCGTCATCATGCAAACATCATAGAGTGCACTTGCACAGACCTAGATAGCACAGTCTACAATGCACCCAGGCTATACAGTACAGCCTGGGGCTCCAAGGCTACAGACCTGTACAGCTTGCTACTGTACTGAACACTGCAATTGTGCCTCAATGGTTAAGTATTTGTATATCTAAACACATCTAAACATAGAAAAGGCATAATAAAAACACAGTATTATAATCTTACGGGACTACCACTGTATACATGGTCCCTTGTTGATGAAACAGTGCTATGCCATGCATGACTGTATTTGAGTATTCTTATACAGTATATAGCACTGAGGTTACGGCGCACATTTAAAAAGGAAGAGTCCCTATTCTTAAGATGCAGATAATAAAGTAGGGACCCGAGAGGCCTCTCTTGTGATTCAGCATGCCACTCTCATCAGCTGTATGGCCCTGGGCAAGGCACAAAGCTACCGTATCTATAAAACGGATTATCATAGATCACCTGCTGAAGACAGGGTTGGGCTAGATGACCTTTGGAGCTCCTTTACCACTAAAATCTAGAATTTCATTTTATGGCTTCATCAAAAGAGTGACTTGAAGGTGAGAAAAGGCTGAGAGCCTGGCCTGACTCTGCAAAGCTCTTGAGCAAACGCTGGCTTTTCAAATCCAGAAAGCCTCCTCTCGGGATGGCTGGGTGTGACTCTCAAAACCTTCTGGCATTCTAGGTTTACTGGGAGTAGAAAGGTTTCTGAAGCTCAGAGAACAGAGGTCCTCGGCAGAGACAGCACCTTAAAACATTTTACATTTAAGACATTAGTGTCTCGGGTAAAATAGAGAGCAAGTCCCTCTATCTCCAACAAAAACCACTCCTCTAAATCTTTCTTAAAAGAATTCCGCAAAATCTGCCCCGCTTCCCCACCTGAGTCTCCTTTCGATGAACTCATCCCTGAAGACCAAGCACATCGGTGGTCTCTGTGTACAGATACACAGCCAGCTTTCCTTTGGCCACAAGAGGGATTCTGTCTCTTCTATGCGCTAGCCACTTCCTGGAGCACTGGTACAGCAAGCTGGTGCTTGCAAGCTGACTTCACAATTGTCAGCTTCTAAGAGCAGGAACTTTATCTTTTTTACTTTGAAACTTTAGTGCCTAGGACATTGCTACCTTCACATTTTTTTTTTGCAGAAGTGAGTTCTCAGAGCACAAGGATTAATGAGCTGGTATAGTTTCTCCTTAGGTTCTGCCCTGTCCCGTCCTGAACCCCTTTTGAACCCTGGTGTGGATCACCGCATACAGACCTTAGCGGAGCTTTGGGGTATCAATCAGTTTGCCAACAAAGGAAATCTAGGTGAGGCTCAGACAGCTGGCATTCATAAATTCTGCATGTTGGTGACATCTGCCAGAAACGCATTTGACCTAGCATGCATGCTTGCAGTTACTTTGCAACTGATTTACATAGTAAACAAGTCTGGACATCCCTGCTTCTACCTGATGAAATCACAAACAGAATTCACTGGATACTACAGCGAGAGCAGCTGGCACCGTGATGGGCGGCTTGGAGGCTGTCAAAGCATCTCTTAGTGGGAGTTGGGACCCGTAGGGCCTCCCCCTGATGCGCTCATTCTCCAAACGGCAACCAAGAACTTTCCACAAGGGAAGAAAGAGGCCAGGGGCTCTGCCCGTCCCCAGTTACCTAAAGGATGTTTGACACATGGCCTCCCTTCTGGCCATGGTCCCTTTGGACCGAATTCACACTGGCTAGAAGAACTCTGGCTGCAATCTCCTTAGGAGAGGGCAGTGAATTTACGGCTCCACATGGCAGGCAGAGGAAAGGAGAGAGAGCAATGCTTCTCATCGATCACTATGGGCATGTGACTCTGTGCAGCTATGGCCTTTGACCAGTAAAGGTCAAGGTTCAACGGCTCCAGTTACATCAACAAACACGAACCATTCCTTCCCTGTCACTCTGAGGGCTGAATCCATCCCTCGACTGTGCTCCTGGGCATCTGGCCCCTGTTTCTCACTGAAGCAAATCGAACTGCCCTTACCCTTGGCAACAGCTCCCTCGCTGGTTTCCCTGCCTCTGCCTGGCCGCCTCTAATCCATTCCCCTCTGCAGCCGGCACACCCTCTGTGAAAGACAGATCTGATCCTGCCACTTCTTTACTTCTCATCGGCCGACGGCTCTCGCCGCCTTGGGATCATTTCTAAATTCTCCATCCTGGCTAACGGCCCGTGTGTGATCACTGGGCCCGCTCTCGAGTATTCTTTCCCATCCCAGCCCTGCTTCTCTGTTTCCTCTGGCTTCTTGCAGCCAGAGGAAAGCTCTTTCGATCCTTACTGTAGGTTCCTCTTACGCCCCCGAGCCTTCCCCATGCAAGCTGCCCCTCACCTAGAAGGGTCTCCCCCTCCTTCTCCCTCCACTAACGCCTACTACATCCTCTTCTCTACCGAGAGGATACCCCGTTTGGGAAACTCCCCCATTGGCTGGGTCCTCCACAGGACTTTGTACATTTCTTGACAAGAAGTATCAAATAGGCTTGCCTGTTTGTGCTTCTCACTGAGCCACAGCTGCATGGGACTGTACCCCCTGTAGCCCTAGCATCGATCACGGTTTTGGGGCACACAGTAAGTGATCACTTTAATATTGAGTTGAATGAATGACTGACTGCAGGCATGCTGGAATGGTAACCCTACAATCTCAGGGGATGAGAGGGAACACTCAAAACTGCACTCACCATTGCAGGTGCAGCGTACATTCCGGTAGAAACGCGGACACACGAAGCTGATGCGAGCCGTGCTGTAGGTCATGAGAGCGTGGGAATCCAGTGACAAGCCTTGCTCACAATGCTGCTCCTGACAGTCCAGCCCTGAGCAGTTCTTCTCCAGGATGGCCGAGATGCGCATGATGTTCTCCAGGTGTCTTCTGGCGTTGGACAGCTTCTGGATCAGGTAGGCTGGCTTGTAGAACTCGCTGCTGTGCATCTCCACTGCAAAAAGCATGTCCAGCTGGTTGGTGCCCGCCACGGGCTGGATGCTGATGATGCGCAGGCTGTCCTGCTTCTGGGTGAGGACCGCGTTCCGCAAGGTGCGTCGGAACCCGTGCATGTGCAGCCCCACGAAGTCCTCGGGGGACACGTTCTCAAAGCGGATGGTGACCGTGTTCTGCAGCATCTCGTGCACCAGCTGCTCCACATGCACCACCACATCAATGGGCACCTGGAAGCGACCGTCACTCACGGACACATTCAGGACATACTTGCCGCTGTCCAGGCCTCCCAGGGCAATGATTTTCCCATCGTGACTGTTCACTTTAAACAAGCTTTTCTGCTCCGATTTCAGGGCAAACGTAAGCACGTCATACACGTCTTGATCTGTGGCATGAATCTTCCCAATGACCCCACCAGGAAAGTCATCCTCCATGGTGACAATGAAAATTTCCAGGGGAATGGCCGTGGGCTTGTGGATGCTTTCCTCAATGACTCGCACGCGGATGTAGGTGTGAGAAACTTGCTGCGGTTTGCCTGAATCCTTGGCCTAAAACAACCAAGAGGTGAACAGGCAATAAATGAAGAAAACTAATCATGATAATTTTTTTGAAAACCCGCAGAAGACGTTTGTGCCTTTACATTTGCTTCTTCCCTCATCCCCTGCCACTATTCCGAAATATGCTGAGGATGTGCGTTTAAGTAAGAGGAGTGATTTATCACCTTCCATCCCCGTCTGTACACTCGGTTATGGATAATAAAATGTATCAACATAATAAAGGCAGCTGGGGTGAATACAGAAGGAGGACAGAGGGCCACAAGACTCAACATGCCCGCAACAGACTGGTCTCGTTTTAATTTTATGCAGCAACCACAGGGGAAACCTCATAAACTGGTCTTTCCACTTGGAGGAGAAATTTTTGTTTTCTGCTAGATTATTTCCTTTTGACTGGACCCAGAGAGCGCCTTTCTGCATATTTAAGAAACAACGTAATTTAAATGGGAGTTATATCACGGTAAGGTTTCACATAAAATATACACTGAAAATAAAAGCTAGGTGGCTTGATAAAAACCTTTTTCTCTTCCTTCCTTGTGTAAGTATTGATAGAACAGCCACTCTGGCAACAGGTCTTTACTGAACACCCGTCGCATGCAAGGTGGAGGTATTCAGTGGTGCAGAGCTTCAGGAAAAGGGCAGATTCCCTCGGGCTGGGTTTATGGGGCAGGTAATGAAGACGGGGAGCTGCAGTGAACCCTGCAGACCAGATGGGATCTGGAGAGAGATGTCCTTGTATGTGGAAGGCAGTGAAAGAGCAGGTGCCTGGGCATCACACAGACCTGACTGTGAATCTTGTCTCTGTCACTCACTACACATCTGGCTTGGAGTATATTACTTAACTTCTCTAAGCTTCAATTTTTGTATTTTTCATATGAGTGAAATAATAGCGTCTACTTCACAGGGTCCTTGTACTATGGGGATTAAGAGAGTCACTGCAAAGCACTAAATCCACGGCTAATCCACAGACACACTTGGTATATGATGGTTCATGTGATTGTTATTTTTATTCGTTTATTTGTTTTGTTTAGAGATGGTCTCGCTCTGCCACCCAGGCTGGAGTGCAGTGGTGGTACAATCAAAGCTCACTGTAGCCTTGACCTCCTGAGCTCAAGTGATCCTTCCACCTCAGCCTCCTGAGTAGCTGGGACTAGCAGTGCGCAGCACCACACCAGGCTACTTTTTGTTTTTGTAGAGATGAGGTCTCACTATGTTGCCAAGGCCGATCTTGAACTCCTGAGCACAAGCAATCCCCTGCCTTGGCCTACCAAAGTACCGGGATTACAGGTGTGAGCCACCAGGTCTACCTGTTACGTTTATTACTGCCATCATCACTTGCTTTATTTGATGGACGATGTGAGCAAGAGATGCTACGACGTAAAATTCAGGGAGGAGGAGATAACTTCAGCAAATTAGATTCAACTTGAAGTCAAACCGTGGAGTGCATCAAAGGAGAGTGATGAGTTGAGACTTTATAGGTCAGCGGTTGCCCATTCATATGTCAGAGGCTGGAAAGATGAAAGAAAGGCATGACACTGGCCGGGCGGGGTGTCTTACACCTGTAATCCCAGCACTTTGGGAGGCCAAGGCAGGCAGAGCACAAGGTCAAGAGATCGAGACCATCCTGGCCGACACGGGGAAACCCCGTCTCTACTTAAAAAATACAAAAATTAGCTGTGTGTGGTGGCATGTGCCTGTAGTCCCAGCTACTCGGGAGGCTGAGGCAGGAGAATTGCTTGAACCTGGGAGGCGGAGGTTGCAGTGAGCCAAGATCGTGCCACTGCTGGGTGTAAGGTGACAGAGGAATGGGCCTGTGGCCAGAGAAGGACTGGAGAGCGGTGCCTGCCAAAAGGTCCTGAAATTCAAAATCTGAGTGTCTGGGGCTGAATTCAGCCTGAAGGGCCTAAGTTTTCAAACACTAGGAAACCAACAGAGTTTTGGTTTAGGGCGGTGATCAGCAAACATGTTCCGTAAAAGATGAGATAATATTTTCAGCTTTGTGGGTTATACAGCCTCTATCACAACCCAGCCACGCTGTCCTATGCACAGAAGGAGTCACGAAGCATATCTAAATGAATGGGGCTGTGTGCCAAGAAACTTTATTGCTAAAAACAGGCTGAGGGCAGGATGTGGCCCAAGGGCTGCAGTTTCCTGGTCCCTGATTAAGGGGAATGACATAATTTAAGTGGAATGATTAATATGGGAGGGGTGAAGGGTTGAGTCAAAAGAGAATGAGTCTGAAGCCAGAGGAAGCACCCAGGAGGCTCCTGCCACAGTAGCATGATGATGGGGCCGTGCAGAGTACAGTGAGGCAGTGGCAACGGGAATGTGACTGATACACTCAGGGACAGACAAAAGGAAGAGCACACAGGACTCGGTCAGTATGGTGGTTTCAGACAACGGACTAGGAGGAGAGAACCTTTTATAAAGATTCTAAGACCTGAGATGTGAAATCTGTTCCATATTTGGAGAGGATAGGCCAACCGTCCTAGTTTCTGTGAGAAGGCACTGAAGATCTCTCCGTGCCTTGAGAACTACACTGTGATATAAAATTTACACAATATTGTTGGAGGAGCAGATGGCAACTGAAGAGTTCATTGATGTGCTTGGAGCTGGCGGTCATTAATTTAGAAGGTTTCACGGAGTAAAGTAAGGTGTAAATGATCCAAAAGACAATGGATAGAAGTCAATGCTGTACCAAGACCAATAATTACTATTGCTATTATTGCCACCATTAATAATGAGTCTAGGTTGCCCTCTGTAGGCAACAGTGGATAGAAAAAGTCGCTCAGTTTCCCTGATGGGATCCAAATCTTGGTATTTGCAGAAATCATACATGGCAACTTCTGGAGGCCCTCTCACTTCCTGCTCCCTTCATACTCTGCATACCTGCCACCTTAGCTTCTTTGTCCCATTTCATGTCACACAGGCCAGTGCCCATGAGGAACTGACATGCTAAAGGTCACTTCCAGCCGAGTCCTTAGTCCCCTCCTGCCTCACCAGGGCAAGGCCTCTCAAGCAGAGGCATGACACTGCCGATCGATCGCCTACGACAGGGAATAGTAGCTGCCCCAAGTGGGGTAAGGTGGCGCATAACAGTATAAAGCAGCAGGAGTTTTTAGAATGCAGATTTAGGCCCAGTGACCATCTGTTGCGCACACCCTACAGGAATGTCTTCCTGAACAATGATGCTTCCCTCCCTTCCTGTTCAATTTCACACACATAGGTAACTTTTATTGGTGTGAAATTGAATTTGAGATTAAAAGGGGAACATTTCTGCACGGTGATATGTTGGCTTTCGTCAGCGAAGAAAAAATGCACCGAAGGGCACAGAAACAAGCATGAGAAAGAAAGCGCGACGGAGACAGAGCGTGATGCCATACCTGGATACACAACACGTATTCCGGAGACTCTGTGTGCTCGAAGACCACAGCCGACCGCAGGATCCCATGAGGGTCCAACACAAACTCCTTCTCTTCATTTCCCGACAAAATAGAGAATGAAAAGGGAGGCCCATTGTGAAAGGAGTCTCTGTCTGTCACCACCAGCTGCAAGATGCTGGTGCCCACTGGCTTATTTTCCTGCATAAAAGAGTTTACATAGTAAAAAGGAAGATAAAATTACACTTTTCTTCACATTGGAAAAAAAAAAAAACCATCATTACAGGCTGAGAGTGCTGAGCTAGAAGACTGGGCTTTCAGCAGAAGGGATTCCTGTGATACTATCTTGTCTCCTGAAAACATGTTGGTGTCTGTAAGCATCATGTTTCTTATCTTGGCTGCTTCCCACCACGACCCCATGGGACAGTCCTCTACAGGTGTGAATACAGGACTTGGAACTGCATGGGTTTACAGGTTCTGAGCGTGGGGCTGGGCACACCTTGTCCTGGGTTAGCTGGCAATGCCCGAGCTGACCTGAAGAGCCCCATTAGGTGCAGGGAGGCACTTCTTCACACACACATCACAATACAATTATGCCGAGGCTCTACACTGAGACACAAATGCTACGGCACTGGATTTTCTGGGGGGACATCCTGGCAACTTCCTAGTCAATATACAAAGGCGTAATCCCGGTGGAAAATGGGGCTTAGCTTACCTCATTTTCCAGAACACAGTTTTGCCATGTTCCTTGAGGGAAGGGGATCGGGACGGAGCATTCCTCAATTTGACAATGAACAGAAAAGGAATCCGTAATTTCGTCGGAATTTTTGGAAGTCCCGATTCTATTACGTAAGTGTTATTTTGCAGAACTTCTCTGCTTTTTTTTTCCCCCGTACGGGAGTGCAAAGCTCCTTCTTGGGTCAAAAGTTATCCTCACTTTGAAAATACCAAATTAAATCGTCTGCAGTGCAGGCACTGGTTTCCTTTCCCCTGTTCAGACTTTAGCAATACCACAGCGTGGGCCCAGAGTCAGTTTTATCAGCTCAGGCCTCCTGACACCATGGACGTAAGGATTAAATGAGTTTGGTTTACAGAGATTAAAGACTACAGTTTGGATGGCAGTCCCAGTCAAGTTTTGTGTGCTGAATGAGACTTATGAAAACCGTATGTTGGAGTAAGAAAGTCATTCTAGGTTGGGAAAAGGGAGGCACAGCTTTTGAAGAAGAAAGAGAAAAGGACGGCAGAGCCCTCTGTTTTGCTCCTTTTCACAAGTGTCCTTTTGGTCCTCAAGAACGAGACACTCTCTCCCTCTGGAATCGGTCGTGGGACCACCATAGCCATGCATACATTTACTGTTTCACATTGACAACGTACTCAGCAGCACACAAAACCCAAGACCGACTGATTCGTTTGCTCACTCTCTAAAGGCCGCTTCCTGCATGGAGGAGCGGGAGAGACACCACGTGGCCCTCAGGGTCACCATCTGAGAGGACGGGTATAAGGTAACACAGACATGCCCGCGCTGCGGACGGGGGCCCCACCATCACTCATGGGCTGAGCCTCTCCGTGCTTTCGCTGTTGACCTCCCGTAGCACATTTGAAAACAGTCTTGTCAAGCCGATCGATGTGTGTCATGAAACTGAATGTTGAGTGGGAGAAGCCCACTTTGTTTTGGGGTTAGCAAACAGAGCCTATGAGGGCAGAGAGCACCCTTGGGAACAGCAGTCATGGAGAAGAGTGAGCTGAGAGAAAGAAACGGAGGAAGGTGTAGACTCTGGGGAAGCAAGAGTGTGGTGAGAATGCACGGCTGCTGGAAAAAGCATCAGAGAGGAGAAGAAACCAAAACACCACCAGGGAAGGAATCAGATTTCTCAGACAAAGGGGTGGGAACCAGCAGACAGCTGCTTGCTTCGAGGCTGCCTCCCAGTCTGATTGCTGGACAGCTCAGTGGCCCGGGGGTCTGAGGAGGTCAGCTATGAATGGTCAGGCTCAAATTCTTCAATGTTATTCCAAAGGGGACCCTCAAGACCGGGCCCACTCACATTTCACCTTCTACCCCCAAAGCCCTGAGGCTCCTTGGGGGTGATTCTGAGGCCAAACTGTATCAGGCAAGAGCTAATTCTCTAGAATACCTGTGGCCCTCCAAGACATGCACATCACTCCGTCTCCTCTAAGTCCCCTGCACTGACAGTATTCGTGGGCTGGATTTCCTGATCCTCCTGAAGCTGGGCTTTCAGCTCCTAGAAATACTGAGAAGTAGAGGACCTAGCAGTGTGCTCACGAAATAAAAAAATAGATGGGAAGAAGAGTCACTCTGTCTGATAGCAGAACACCAGCAGTCAGTTACTCTATCCTGTAGTCTGATTTTAAAGAGCAAGTGAATTTAAAGTGTTAAACGAATAGCTTATGGAAGATTAATTTTAATGAGTACTAGCTCTATCCTGATGCCCAATCTGTCTTCGACCGATGAGATAATGTGTATCAATCTCTGTCATCTGCCAGAATAGCATAAAGTGGCTTAAAGGCAGCCTGCCATTGGGGAAAGGGAATTCTTTTGCAGAAGACAGTTCCGAGTTCGAACCCTGACTCTGCCATTTACCAGCTATGTGATCTTGGGTGACCTACTTAACCTCCCAAATCCTTAGCTCTTTCAATTGTAACGTGGGGGCCAATCGGCCATCCCTCTTCCCAGGGTTGTTGTGGGGAGAGACAGTGTTCATAAAGTACCTGGCACTTGAAAAAAATCGACTCCTCAATAGTTCTCACTCACATTTATTAGTCGGCGTGGTAGAAAAACTAGTTTCTTTTCACACTTGCCCTATGAACGCATAAGACAACATTAAGTAATAGTAACAATAAACCACAATGAGTAAACCACAGCAGAGGAAGAAAGCTGACTAAACAGAGACAAGTATTTGGCGGGCAAGATTTGCTCACCTGAATCACCGCAGTATAGTTGGCAGGTGTAAACACTGGGCTGTTGTCATTCACATCAGAAATATCAATGTTGACAGTTGCAGTTGATGACATTGCAGGAATGCCACTGTCTACTGCCTGGACAAGCAGAGAGTATCCAGACACCTGCCAAGGTACAAAGGGGTGACAGTAAACAGGTGTAGTGCTTCCTTCCTTCCGTGCATATGCAGAGGAACTGGAGCTTCAGGCTTGGCTTTGTGAAAGGTCCACCACATTTAGTTTGATTTTCTAGACCAGGTGATTCTTGGCAACACTGACATTTGGGTCTGGATGATTCTTTGTTTTGGGGGCTGACCTGTGCATTCTAGGATGTGCAGTGGCATCCCTGACCTTTGTCAAGGAGGAGGCAGAAATACCCTCGGCCTAGTTGTGACAGCCAAAAATGTCTCCAAACATGCCAGATGTCCCCTGGGGTACAAAACCACCCTGGTTAGGACCCAAGCTCTGGGCCTTTGCTCAGTGCAACAGGTGTCACCACTGATCTGTCTTATGTACCAATGTGAATATTTCTGGAGTTATAAGCTTGTGCCATCCAGTAGAGTCTGCCTGCTTTTCAGCATCTCTACCCCGCCATCCTTTTCCGTATTTAATTTCCCTTCGAAGATGCCTATTTTTGGTCAAAAAGACAATGTTTAGAAACTTCATTTAACCTGGGACAGAGGCATTTTTTGGACTATTTTTTCTGACCTAGATGCCTTCAGGTAATCTTTTTGTCTTTGCTCACTGAGGGCTACGGTTGTTCATAAAGTCAGGACCACAGGGTCCCAACCCAGACAGTGTCTTTCCGTCCGCTCGCTCTAGGCAGGACTGAAATTCCAAGCACCTGAAAACATAAATACATGCCTCTTCTTTAAAACCTCCATACATAAGAGATTGCCAGCATCTATTAGAGGCAGAAAATGCGATCAAAGGTCTAACCCTCATACTTCATGCTGCATTTTAGCCCATCCTTACCTACTTTCATGACTTAGAATGGAGAATCTTACCATTTATACCCCTGGAGCTTGTGCCTCTGATTCCAGGAGAGGGGTGGATGTGGATGCGAAGGAGACTGTCCTAAACTAGCTTACCCGTTCCCGGTCCAATTTCTTCTTAACTTTCACAAGTCCCAAGACAGGATCCACAGTAAATTCATTGTCCCGATCTCCGTTCACAATGGAAAAATGGATCTGGCCGTTGGGCGGGCTGTCTACATCTTCTGCTATTAGCTTCATGGGAAACAAGCATAATAAAGAAAAGGCATGACACCACAGAGCAAAGGGTCGCCTGTCTGCTTAAATGGGTGCAGCTATGACAGTTTTCTCAGGAGCTCTGCTCTCTAATGCTGGTGACCAAGCCCCCAGCAGAAGGGATGATTGGTCAGCTGAAGGAGGGTGGCATCAGGTCCACCGCTGCCATTTTATTTCTGTGTCAATTTTTACCTGCGCATAGCCTGACGCCTGCTAGGCCTGAGTTTTCGCAGGGTTTGAGACAGTATGGTTAGAACCCAAAGCTAACGGGAAGGAATGCTTTGATTTCTTCCCAATCCTGCAAGGAATCGTCTCTGCCATTGAATCGGGGATTCTCTAGGCCTATGCATTTCCATATTAAGGAAACCAAGAAAGTTCCGCTTCTCACACAGCAAATAGACTGCCCTTCTGTCGATTGTTCCAAGTTGATGATGTGGAAATTTATCTGTATGGAAACAGTCGTGTGTACTTTCCAGGAAAGAGAGCGGGCCTGAGGAATGCACTTCTGATGTGTAAGGAATGCACTGTCCTCCAGCAGAGGGCTGTTCCACCCTCATCCTGCGATGAGATGACTCGAATGGAAGGGACCTGCCAGCCAAGGGATGGGGAAGGATGGTGGAGAGGGGACTCAGGCTTCCAAAATGTAATTTGTGGTCTATGAGAATCTGAGTTCTTAGGATACATGGCTTGTTCTTACTGCTAGAAAAAAAATCCTTCTGGAAAAGACTCCTTTAAGAGTGGCCAGTCAGCCTTAGATTTGCTCCTAATTGTAGCTGCCCAACTCTGCGTGTCTGTGTGTGTAGGGGGAAGAGGGACAGGGATTTTCTTCTATCTTCAGCAATCTAATAATTTTAAAACATAAATGGACAAATCATAGTTGCATATACTTATGGGGTACAAGGTGATGTTATGATTTATGAACACAATGTGTAATAATTAAATCATCCAATTCACCTATCAATCATCTCAAATACCTAGCATTTTTTTGTGGTAAGAACATCTGAAACTTACTCTTAGCCATTTGGAAACGTACAGTACACCACTATTAACTATATTCATCATGCTGTGCAACAGATCTCCCCCCAAAAAAGAATGTATTCCTCCTAGCCACCTAATAAAGTGTCATCTAAGTTCACATCTAAGTAGGGGGCCATCATTAAAAAGTAGTCCCATGGTCTGTTTCGTTTTCTCAAAAAAAAATACGGTCCTGGGAAATAAGTGATTATTAATCACTTATACCTCGATATAAGTTAATCTATCAGACTCATCCTAATACACAAATGACAGAAGGAGCCATAGAAAGATGGCTCCTATCGTTGGGGACAAATGGAGACCAAAAGAGGGAAGTGTGAAGAAAATGCAAGATAGACTTTGCTTTCCTCTTCACTTTATTGTGGATGGCTAGTGCCAGCCATCTGGAACCATCCCCAACCCCAGGTACCTACCAAAATGACAGAGTCTCCCACCAAGGCATCTTCACTGATGACCGCACTGTAGACATCTTGGCTGAACTTGGGAGGGTTGTCATTAACATCTGTGAGGTTGATGTTGACCGTGGCCACGGCACTGAGAGCTGGGGTGCCCCCATCTTTGGCTTCCACTACCAGGTAAAACCTTTTGCATAATTCATAGTCCAGGACGTCAGACACAGAAATACCACCTTTGAAGAAAAGTGGGGAGCTTTACATTTGATAGGAAAAAACACTGGTCAGCCATTCTATAATCACGGTAATATTTATAACATCCTCTCCAGCCAACAATTTTTGATATTCAGGAGTTTGTTTATTGAATGCCTTACTGAACGTATTCCGGAAGTCTGATTAATGCTGTCAGTGAAAGCACAGCTCTCCATCAAATATAATACCGAGGAAATGAAAAGTCTTTACGTGTTTCTGTAACAGTTTCTGAACACCTCTCGGCAGCTTGAAAATCTCTGGCATCTTTACCCTCACACAACTAATGAGTAGGAAACAGAAACAAGTATCCCTGACACGTGTCTTCTGATTCCTCAGGTGGACACAGGAAGACCACGAATGAGCTGAGATGTGTGGATGTGACGGTATGACCCCATTCTTGTCAGCAAGTAAATACTTGCAGACTTTGCTGAATTGAATTGACTGCCATGTTAAAATACACTTACCTCAAACAATTATGGCACAAAGAGGGCAAAGATCTCAGAAATCTCAAGATACAGTGACAATAGAAAAGGAACTACCTGGAAATCAGACAGCCCGGCAGCCACATATTGAGTTTAGTGCCCACAACTATAGATGATAATGTCCATGTCACAGAATGGCTTAAATAAGTAGAATATGTGAAAGCAGCTAGCTGGGTGCTGGTGCTCTATCCCTCCCATCCTAGCCCTTTCTGGGGAGGTCACCCAATCCTGCAGTCTGCGGTCCGTCCTTGTATTGCCTGCAGAACACTTCTCAAGGGCATCTACTTTCCTCCCATCCAGTAAACAATCATTAGGACTGGCACGAAGGTCATGCCCATTTACATTTCCAGACAGACAACTTCTCTAGTCACTGAGACTGCCAATAGGCTCCTTCTACTTAAGGCAAAACACAGAAATCATGCCTGCAAGAAGAGCCTCTTTCTCCCCATAATTGAGTTATCTTAGCACTTCCCACCTCTAGTGCTTATTATGCATCCCAGTCTTGCTAACCAGTGCTGATTTTAAATAGCACTTAGCCATTTCACCACGGTGTTGATATACAGTGGCCATAACTAGACAGGTTAGGGCCAACACATATTTAAATGAGGAAATCCTCATACATGTTATTTGAGATAATGACTTTCATAAACACCTGCTGCCAAGAGAAGCTGTGTTGCAATTCCCCCAACAATATTTTCACTTTCCAATACAATACTTAAGGGTTAGAACTCTATTTCTTGTATTTTTGGAATCCCTACAGTATAGCAGTATTATATTACATTAGAATATGCATTCCAGAGGCAGAAAGGTCTGAGTTCAGATGTTGGATAAACCATTTATTAACAGTGGACATCGCAGTAATTATTGCCCACTCTGAAGTTCTGTTTTGACTCAATAAGAGCCTGACATATTTGCCATGATAAGAACACATTGCTAATTATCATGATTTCTTGTTTATATTTATTGGATTATCCAAAGGAAAATGGACCTCCTTTGCCACCTTGCTCAACAGGGGCATACTCCTTCAGTGATGAGGGAACTATGTTCAAAGGCCGGAAGGTGAGAGACTCACCTTTGTTATCTGCAAAGGGGAACTGCCTTGACCATTCATAGGGGAATTGGGAAATAAGTGAGACTACCCACAAAAGGACGTTGGAATAGGAATCTAGACACTCTCTGAAAATACCAGGATGAGGATGTTTAGTCTTTAAAAAAAATCCAAGCCTCTTGTCTAGAACCATCTTTATCTGCCTGAAGCACCTCCAAGACTTTTTAACTCGCTGGCGAAGAGAAAACCCCATGGTTCTCTCTAGTTCTTTTGCTTTATCTGGAAACACCTCTTTCCCCTAGGTGGTGCTACGCACTCCCCGAGTTGGAAAAGGGTGTGGTGAGAAATGACAGTGTTCTGACCAGGAATCGTGAACTGGGTTCAAACGGAGCACCAGTTCCAGCACACCGATGCATTGAGAAGGCTGCATATCACCATGCAGATCACTTATCAATGTCTGCCTCGGCAGGTGATGAGAGAGGGGTAGTCCACGTGTGGACAGTTGTACATGGAGGCTCATCCCCAGGAGCATTTCCAACATGTGCACATACGACTTAGGTAAAAACCCGTAACATCAAACAGAAAAGAGAGAGAACCAAACTCTTGTTGTTAGAATACAAATACTATTTCCTTTCCCCATTGAGAAACCACTTTGCCGCCCCTGAGCCCTTCCATCTAGAAATCCTGGAAATCCTCCCATCTAGAAATCCTGGGGGTCAGATATTTGCTAAGGAAGCCCACAGCAAGGAGCTTACAATTTAGCAGGAGGCATCCTTAGAAGCTGGAGGGCACGCGGGGGTCTGCATATGGGCCCTGCTACCAGATTTGTTTCTTCTGTGAAGGAGATAAGAGGAGGAAAGAGAGTCCACCAGGAAGGGTTGCCAGAGTATTAGGAGGAGAAGCAGAATACAGGTGAAGCCCTGAATTTTCTTTTTTAATAAGGTTTTGCTCTGTTGCCCCGGCTGCAGTGCAGTGGCAGGAATGCGGCTCACTACAGCCTCTAACTGCTGGGCTCAGGTAATTCTCCCACCTCAGCATCCCAAGTAGCAGGGACCACAGGTGCATGCCACCCCATGCTTGGCTAATGTTTTTCAAAAATTTTTATAGCAACAGGGTATTACTCTGTTGTCCAGGCTAGCCCTGAACTCCTGGACTCACTGGATCCTCCTGAGTCGCCTCCCAAAGTGCGAGGTTTATCGTTGTGAAGCCCCCACGACCAGCTAAAGCTCTGCATTCTGAGTATGGTGCTATTTACCCACCTGTCTTGGGGTGGATCTTAAATTTCCCTTGTTCGTTCCCAGACCGGATGAGATAAGTGATCTCAGCATTTGTGCCGATATCTTTGCTGGTGGCAAAAACGGCTAGGACTTGGCTGCCAGGCGAGGTGTCCTCAGGCACCGTCACTAGGTAGTCCCTCCTCTCAAACACAGGGGGGTTGTCATTAATGTCCAGGACGGTGATGGTGACAGTAGTGAGAGACGACAGGGACTGTCCGGGACTCTGGTCGGTGGCCCGCACGCTGATGTTGTAAGAAGACTGCTGCTCTCGGTCCAGTGGCTGCTCCAGGATGATGATGCCAGATGAGCTGTCAATGGAGAAGACCCCACCTGCTGAGTCTGCCAGGGAGTACACTACCTTCCTGTTGATGCCTGTGGGAAAGACACAGGAACATGAGCGGGAAAGAACGTGGCTAGCCGATCTGCGCTGGAATGTTACGGCTTCGCAGACCTTTGAAGAGTCACAACAAGAAAAATAGTTATGCCAGAGACAGCTGTGCTCTTACAAAAATGTAAATTTTAGTTTGTGGGGGGAAAATGCAATTAAAAGGCAAAGAAACTGGGAAAATACTAGAAACAGATAGCAGAAATAGTTGGATAGTCCTAATATACAACAGGCTCCCCACAAACCTTTAAGAAAACCTCTCAGAGGCTAATAGATGCAGGGGTAAAAGATGTGGCACAGAAAGAGAAATGGAAACCAACCAAAACCAATTGATTATGTCAGCGCCGGTTTATTTAGAATCCACCAGGCACTTTCTAGGGGCTGGAGGGTCTAGCAATGGACAAGTCCAACATTTCTTGAGATTTTACATTATAGTGAGGCTGTAGCGGTGGTGAGGTGGAAGCCACTGGTGGGCTGTACGATGGGAGTCATAAGAGGTAACGTACGTTTTAACAGTATCCCTCTGGCTTCTGCTTGTGAACAGACGGAAGCGTAGCCAGAGAGGAAGGACAGAGACCAGTCAGCAGCCTCCTACAGCAAGACAAGTACGTGACTGTGGTGGCCTGAACAAGGCAGACGGTGTCGAAAGCGGTGAGAAGGAGTCAGGTTCTACATCTGTTCTAACTACCCAGGTGGTGAGACGTGAGGGGGTCTTGGTTGTATTCTGAACTTGGAGGTGGCGAGAGCGTTTTATATGTGGACCTGGCAGGACCTAGGAATGTGAGAGAAACAGAGGCTTCTAGAATGACCCTTCGGCTTTGGCCTGAGCAACTGGAAAGAGGGTGTAGTCATGAGCTGAGATGGGGAGGGCTGCAGACAGGCTAGGTTTTTCTGGACAGATTAACTATGAGATGTGCATCTGATATTCAAGTGCAGATGTCAAGTAGAAAGCTACATAGAGAAGGCTGCGGTTCGGAGGAGAGGGCCAAGCTGGAGCTATAAATTTGAGCTTCGTTGGTGTACGGCTATCACACAAAGCCATGAGAATGAATGAGGTCACAAGGGATTTATAGAGGGAAAAATGAAATCCAAGGGTCAGTGAGCCTACGGCACTCCATCGAGGAAGGGAAGGGATCTAGTCAGAAGGTGCTCTTCTGCCCTAGGATTTCAAAAAATGTACTTAGTGACCGAAATCCCATTTTATGTTATTATGAAATAAAGCTGAAACATATAAACTAGGAAATGTCTATCAATAACCAATGAATTACTGAATAACGGTTGGACTGACTTGTGGTTCTGCATATTGATTTTAACTGGTTTCATCAGAGGATCTCAGCACTTCAAAACAGTTTATAAACCTCAAGTTCACTTCAGTTGTCAGGATTTATAAGAAGTAACTTGTAACAGTTTTGTAGGCTGAACAAGCACCATTCGGATCCTAAATACTCTTGATGAAGACAGTCATTAGTCAGAGGTCTTTAGATATGACAACCATCTGAAAATGTATTTTGAGAATCGTGGAACCTTAGAATATAAGCTCTTAGAGGGGAGGGCCTAGCCATTATTTTTTCTTATTATAACACCTCATTTGGCAATAACAAGAGCTAAACATTTTACTTTCCCAATGTACAATTTCCCTTAAGCCCAAATTCCCAGCAAACCAATAAAATCATATATCTGGAGGGATGACATAAATTGCATTATGTGGCTTTAACCAAAAGGTCAACGCTGAGAGCCTGTTCTTGGTTCCATTCCAGAGAGTCCATTTTTTCCAAAGTTTCATCATTTACTTTTTTTTTTTCCCCAAACAACTGCCCTGTGATGGATAAACATCAACCTGTGATTTTATTGACGCTGGGATTAAAAATAAGAAGGCTTTCCTCTTCTCTTGCTGCCTCCTTGAAATGAGGCTCCAGAGCAGACATTTAGGGATGCTTTCTGGCTACTTCTGGAGTGGCTGCAAGATTAAATTCTTCAACATAAATTCCTGAGGTGAATACACAGAGGGTTGCACAGGGGATCAAGCTTGCACCTGGAAAACAATAGCCCTGTCTGGGTGTCAGAATAGGTTGTGTGCCCTGGAAGCTGCCTTGAGTGATTCAGGGGTCTCAGGATGCCTCTCAAAGTCACAAAAATGCATTTATGGAAACACATCAGCGATTGACATAAATACACCACACAGGTTTTCGAATCACACACATCCCCTGCAGAATTAACATCCACCCCCAGCATATGGTACGCTGCTCTTGCCAACAAGAAGAGCAGGCAGGAAATTCATGCAGGGACTTTGATTAGTGCGTATGCTGGGAGCTACAAAATCCATTCCACTGATGCATTCACCAAGGGCTCGTCTGGTGCGAACTGCGTTTTTAGAGAGGCATGAGGAACAGCATGCAAAGTCCTGTTCTCCCTAAGCTCTTTGTCCAATCCCCTTAGGGATTTCAGGATCTCTCTGGAAAACTTTTCTCTTCAGGCCTGAAGATGAGTTAGGGAAGAAGGTAATTTCTGACACACTGTTCTGAAAGCCATGGTGCTGTGAATAGCTGAGTGAGGAGAGGTAGGAGCTGGATTTGCACACTGCTGCTCTCTGCAGCAGCAAGGCCAGAAGGGAAGAGGCTTTTAATAGCTGCCTGCGTTTCCTTCACTGGAACAGACAGCTGGAATATAATTGTATGTATCACCTCTGGTCGAGGCCTGCAGCTTGCTCTTCAGCCCTGTTTACAGGTACTCAGCTGGGTTTGGATCCCCTAGGCAGGAGATTCTGGGTTCTCCAAGCCTCCTGCTCAGCTGACTAGCCCTGTTGTTGGAGTGCTGCGTTTACAGGACTGACATTAATCAGCCACACAAAGAGCACGGCTCCCCTCCAGGCAGATTCTGTTAATTCAAAGTCCATGACAGGGTTTTTCTGCTTTACCATGGCAGAAAACCTTCCCTTCCTCCCCAGGTTGCTGACCCACACTCCTCATACATTTTGCTTGTAACAGTATCTTGGGCATTCACATCAGGAGAAACTGGAAGATTCATTGTTCCTCTCTCCTTTCTCCTACCAATCAGACTGATAAGGAAGCAAGATCAGAAAGGAGTGGGAGAGACCCAGGCCAAAAAACCTGCTAAATGGCATTGCTTAGGATTTGCTAGCTCTCAGGAAAAGAGCAGGATATATTTTTTAGAGCATATTAAAACTCCAATGTAGACACAATTGAAATGGATTTCAATAATTTTTAGAAATAAAGTCGGAAGCGTAACTGTCAATTTGGAAACAGTTATTTTTTGGGGTAGCATTTGGGTCTCTGCCATGTTCCTGGGCCATGGGGTGCCATCTCTGTTAAATGAATGCCGGTCATGTTACTAAAGTGGACACTTTTTATCCACAGGGGTTTGATAAATGCCATCCTTCAAATTGCTATCCCTTTCTACATACACAGCAGAAATGATGAACCCAAGCGGACGACTTGCTGGCTAATTGGTCTACTGCTCCTACTGCATGTCATGATGTGTTACATTAAGGTATAACATGAATCCATCATTTTGCCTCTATGTTTTTAACTACGTAATTCTCTTCTCCACTTTGAGCCTAATTTAACGAGGATGGAGATACTTAGCTTCTGTAAATGCTGAAATGCCAGGCTACCAAGAGAAGTGTGACTTTCATTGCAAGTGAAGTTTCTGCATGTGATCTGTGGCAAATGGAGCAGACAGGCCTTCAGAGAACTGAAATCAAGGCAAAAGAGAATGACTAAAATCTCTATTTGCTCAAAGAAAGTAATAGGTAGTGGCACTTTGTGGAGTGGGATAGGAGAAAGAAAATAGCACATAAAAATTCCTAGCAGGGAAGGCTGTGAAATTCTGGAATGGGTAGTGAAAGACATCTATATTCTGTCTCTTGGAAGGTTTTTAAATGGAGTCCAGGTTTCTCGCAATGGGATAAATGGATAATTGGATGTTTTGGACATGGGACTGTTCATAAAAGTCAGTTTTAAACTCATTAAAATGAAGGAAATGTGGTCCAGTACTGGAAGACGGGGGACTTTGCTTCTAGGCCACAGTCTGCCCTAACTACACGAGTGTCCTTAGTCAAATCACTTTGCTTCCCTGGGTCTGCATTTCTAGGGTGGCAGAACCCAGGTCAGTTGAGGTCTAAGATGATTTTCCAGCAGAATGACTCCTTTCCAAGTTAAATAAAGGGAGTCGGTTTCATTTCTATTTCCAGTGAATGCTCCCTGCAACTGCTCATTAAGTCACTGGACCTGGGCCTAAGTGGGCCAGCATCAACAAAGAACAAATCCACGCTCAGCTGGACATGACAGCTATTAGAATGTGGATTTTCATGACAAGCTATTAGAATCTTCAGGATGGAAGGAAAACTTAACGCAGCAGATTCACAGCATTCGGTGAAATGCTCAGAATTCACACATACAGCTTACAGTTATACAGGTTCTTACACTTCAGTGAGAAAGAACCCCCAGTGATAGGATCATCCCTAGGGCTCTAACCTACAGAGTGCCAGAATAACTTAGCTTTAAATCTGAGATTGCTAAAGGTGTTAAAATCAGCACTGAAACCAAACGGCAAGAGTCACCAACACAGCTATTTTTGACCTGGTCTTTAAGAAGTATTTTCACTCCTCCTCCTCCTTAGAACAGAATCGCTAAATTTAAGGAACCAGCAAGAGCTGTGTTCTGCCTGGTTTGGTGTCTTATGCTGGTGGCGGCCCTGACTCCTCTGCAGGCTCTTGTCTCTGACATTCGCTCCTATGTCTTCCGTTGCCTGCACGGGATCTAGTCTACAGGTGGCACACAAAAAACATGGGTTGCACTAAGTTGCGGTAAACTGGTTTTTATCAAGGGATTTACACTTAAAAGGAGTAGGCATCTGGGGAACAAATAATTTCAAGTGATTTCAACATACAATTGTTCGAATTTTTGTATCAACTTTATTAAGGTGTCATAATTTACATATCATAACGTTAGTACATTTTAAGTCTCCA